TTCACAAAAACAAAGTTTTATAAAATGATAAACTTTACATTTCAGCCTAAACCATTGTTAAGACAATGGATGAGTCAAAAGTATTATTATATGAATTTAAACAATTATTATCAATAAATTATTATATCAATTAAATAACTTTTTTCTAAAAGTGTGCACCATCTTTTGAGTCAAATTCTTGCATTTGGGTTGTTACCAAGCAAATTAAATCAGTATCAACAAAACTGATCTTTGCAATGCAGAGGAAACACAGAAGCTGCATCTGAAGTGGCATTTAGATGCATTTATACACTTTAATGCAGTTCTGAGGGACATTAAATACTCTAACCTGCAGTTACAATTGCATAAATAATGTTTTGATATTTTAAACATAAAACATTGAAAACTGATGTTTGAAATTATTTAAAAAATGAAAAGATACTTTAAATATGAAATTAAAACCGCCAGTAGGTGGCAGCAAGTCACCGTTAATAAGTGAGTCATTGCGATTGAACCGAATCATTTAAACGGTTGATTCATTCAGGAACGAAACACCGTCGTGTTGCTCAGAGACACTAAACAGCGCTGTGGCTGTGTTTGAAATGATTTTTGTTGGAAAAATAGAGCAAAAACAGGAAATATGGTGTCTAAAACGTAAGTATCTTAATATTAACTACTTGTTTATTGAACTGTAGTATAAAATCAATATCACATTTGTAATCATGCTTACTTTTGGCGAAAAACCGGCACTCTTCGTGTGATATTAACTATATCAAATGATTTAAATATATATATTTTCTGCCCCATATCTTAAATTATGTGATAATTATAAATGCATTTTAATAGACTGATTCATGCAGTGAAAGAACGCACTCTAAATGAGCACGCGCACCAATCTAACCTACTAGACTTTATCACCTAATGTATGCGCGCACTCTGTAGGTGTTGGGTCGATTTTCGCATTGGTATGAACGCTGAACAAAACAACAGTTTTATTGAAAATGCTCATTCATTCTCTGCCAGCAGGTGGAGCGTTTGGTAGAAATATCACTGTTTCCCCGGTAACGGCAGAACACAAAGCAGCGCAGCACCGGATTTTGAACGTGCAGCGCTTGTTTATTCAATGAAATCATAGCCTTTTGAAGTTTAATCGTCACATTCAGCCATATCGCAATTCTGGTCTTTCCATCCCCAAATTTAAGACCTTTTGAAATCATAATTAAGACTTTCTTGTACAATTTAAGACTTTTTTAATACCCGCGGAAACCCTGTATTCAGGCTGTTGATGTTTTCATGAATGAACAGTCACAATTATCTGTTGTTGCAGACGACCCAAGAAAGTGAAGTAGAGGAGCTGAAGACTCAGAAAGAGCCTATCCCAGAGCGGACGCAGAGCGGTCGGGCCAAGCGCTTGTCGGCGCAGGTGGCCGTGTTCCACCTGAGGGAGATCGCCAGTGAGGAGCTGCTGAAGGAATGGCCCAAAAGGAAAGTGCAGCGTGACCTGGTACCAGACGAGAGGAAGGTGCTGCAAAACATGTATATGTCAAACTATGCCAACATGTTGTAATTGCAGGGCTGTGAAGAAGTCAGAACCTGTGTGAAGCTCTTTTTGGTAAGGCAGCATCAGCTTTGTTTGTTTTACACATTTTCATGGATTCACTAAAAGGTTTGAGAACTGTGAATGAAGAATCAATCTTGTGTTCATTTTTATAAGCATTTATGGTATTTTTGTGTCTATGTAGCTGAAGTATTCTCGTCCAGGTTTGCCGGCCTTCAGTCAGGAGACTCTACGGAAGTGGAATAATGAAGTCAAACTGCATAAAAAAGTGCAGTGTCCAAACAAGGTGAATATCATGCATAAACAGTTATTATTCCAGGCGTTTTTACCATTGTGTTTGAATTTAAAGGGCCATTCATTAGTGTTTTGTGCATGTTTTGCACTGATTGTGGCATTATGCAAAAGCAAGGATTTTCAGTGAATGAATGGTTTACTGAACTAAATGTGTAATGATCATCTTTGTTGTCAAATTAGGGATGTAACTGCTTCTATACCAGCGTATCTGGCTTAAAGGCTCATCTTGGGCTATGTACCTTGGTAAGGAATAAATTTCCTTTCAGACATGTAACACACAAAATACAGTGAAAACAGTAATATTGTGAAATATTATTACAATTTAAAATAACTGTTTTCTTTTTAAATACATTTTAAATAGTAATTTATTCCAGTCGTGGCAAAGCTGAATTTTTAGCAGCCATTACTCTAGTCTTCAGTGTCACACGATCCTTTGGAAATCATTCTAATATGCTGATTTGGTGCTCAAGAAACCTTTTTTATATTTATATTTTTCCTTAATAAATATAAATGTCAAAAGAGTACTATAAATTTGAAATAGAAACCTTTTGTAAGGTTACGAATGTCTTAACTGTCACTTTTGATCAGTTTAATGCATCCTTGCAGACATTAATGTCTTTCAGAAAATCGTACTGACCCCAAACTTTTGAATGGTGTAGTGTAGTTTGACCAGAAAAGATAGTCATCTGTACAGTATAACTAAATAACTATTGCTTTGTTATTGGTACCTAAATCAGTAGGTTTCTATTGATTTTTCTTGTTTAATGAAAAGTTATGAAAACCTTCTTTTTTTTTTCTCTCTGCAGGGTGAATTTGAGACTGGGAAATATAAATGCTTGATATGTAAGAAAGAATTCAACTCCGAAAGTGGAGTCAAGTATCATATTAATTCCATTCATTCTCAGGTAACACATTAAATGTTTATTTTATTACATTTTCTGCTCTTTATATATCATAAAAATGTATCTTTTTATAATAAGTATTCTCATTGTTATTATTTTTCATAGGATTGGTTCGTTATTCGGTCCAAATCTAAGAGTTCAAAGTTAGATAAACTGCACAAGACTGAGCCAAAGGAAGATTCCATGAAGAGTCCAGACCTTCCCTTACCAAACCCAAACCTCAGTTTTCCCAGCACCTGGCAGGATAGACAGATGTCAGCGGTGCCCATGTCAAGTGGAGTGGAAACCCCTGGAAGAGTGGAAATAAAGAGGAAGGAGGAGCAAAACAAACAGAAAGAGAAGGAAAGCAGGCAGGAGAAAGACTGCTATGAGTTCAGCGGCAGTGACAGTCCCAGCAGTAGCAGCAGTAGTGAGAGCTCCAGCAGCGAGTCAGAGACCGAGGACCCAGCGGCACACAGACATGACAAATGGGCCCTCAGCAGGCCCCTCACGAAGCCTGTGTCCAGCCAGCAACCTGAAAGTGATTCATAAACCATTCCTTTTCCAAATATGGAGTTTTTCCAGTGTTCATCTCCAAAGATTAAAGAGATACACATCCATTCAAAGGTTTAGGGTCTGTAAGATTTGAAAGATGTCTCTAATGCTCACCAAGGCTGCATTTATTTGATCAAAAATACCGGCAAAACTGTCAAATTGTGAAAGATCATTACAATTTAAAATAACTAATTTCTATTTTGATATATTTTAAAAATATATGCAAAGCTGAATTTCCAGTAGCCATTACTCCAGTCTTTAGTGTCACACGATCCTTCAGAAATCATTCTAATATGCTGATTTGGTGCTCAAGAAATCAACATTAAAAACAGTGCTGCTTAATATTTTAGTGGAAACCATTATACTTTTCATGATTTGATGAATATAAATATAGAACAGAATTTAATAACATTATGTCTTTACTTTTGAGAAATTGAATGCATCCTTGTTGACTCATATTTTTATTTGTAGGATTTGCTGAATTGTGCTTCCCTTTTATTGACAAGAGGAACTGCATATATTGAAAGGCCACATGCAAATATTTAATAATGTCTTTGAAAGTAATATGACAATTTGACTTTATTATTTATTTCATTTTAGGAATAAAGTATAAGCCATGTGTACTGAATGTAGTAGAGCATTATGTTTATTTTTCTGTAAGCTTTGTCTCATGCTCTGTACCTCTAAGTTTCACAGTGAACCAGTGACCGACTTTATTAAAGCAGTTGCATGCAACAATGTTCTTGAATGCTGCTGGT